TTGAGGCATTCTTCTTCGATTCCGATGAAAAGATGCTAAGCTTTCGTCCGTTATACGAAGGACATCATCAGAACGAGGTAACATCGTCACAACAAAATTCAAGCTAATGAGTAAAGAAAACTCACCGGAAAATCCCTAAAAAGTGGTATTTATACTCTACATCTGGTCTCCTTGATCAAGTCTAAAGTCATTTGGTTAGTCAAGAGGAATCCGCCGTCGTTTTCTGGTGGAACCGACCTTATATATAGTGTTGGTTCGGCCTCGTTATCTCAACTCGATCGGAGCGTAAGGAAGACCTTGTGGAACGTAACTAGTCTTGTGTCTGCTGCCATATTATTCGTGTTTTTCAGCATCGGATTACTGACTTGGTACATTCCCAAACGTTTCGCTGGCATCGTCAATGAGAGGTGCCATCGTCACCACAAAGTCACAACTTATCAAAGTTACAAGTGAAGACAATTCCTTTGACAAATTTACTTTTCAACCATTGAGAATGTACCAAGTCCGATGCTTGAAAGCATGAACACTATGACAGAAAACAGAGGACCAGGTAAGTTCTACAAGGTCTCCCAAATGCTTTGACCAAATCGCGAAAACAAGGTTTAATCAGTAGTATAAAGCTAAAGGCAAATGCGACCAAACATAAGGCCACAAAATCTTGGTCTTTCTATGCACAAACTGGTATATAGTTTAAAATCTACTTGAAATCATGTGAGCCAAACTAAATTGCACCAATTAGGTAGGAAATTCAGGTCAATGCATCCTTCATCTCTTTTAGAATGGCGAGTTGGCCTTACCGAAAGATGAAATAGGATCGTATGGATTTGCCATAGCATATTCATGGGAATAAGTCCCCGCGAATCTGGAGGCCAAGTTACGAATCTTATTCACTCTGATATGAAACTGACGTCGGCTGGACCTCGAATAAACAGGTAGAAAGCACCTATCTAAAGTAAGAATCAAAGTTCAAAGCATCTAGCTAGTAATTCTGGGTCCACAAGACCAACCTTGTTCAGTGCAGCATCACTACGAATAATTAAAAATCACTTATTCCTCCAAGCATGAGGAAATGCATACTGTTACGGCTACTTTAGTCATAATTAGTCAGAAACCCTACGCAAGACTACCGGTATCCTTTTTTCATAGATACAATTATGAAAATGTCTGAAGGAGTAGGAAAAAATTATTGAAAGTGAAAAAGAAAAACGGTTCCAGTTACTTATGTATATGAAACTTGTGACTAGATAAGACATCAACAAGAAGACAATCAGATAAGAATGACCAATTCACAAATGAAGAAAAATGTAGAAACACATAAAAATATCGGTCTGTTAATGTAGTCAACATTAAAAATACTGAGTGCTAAACGATCAACGTATTATAGGGAGAAAATTGGGTTAAGAAGGGTGATTCATTATGACATGATTTTTCATTTCGAAAGAAAAGTTGGATAAAAGGAATTCATGAATTGGTTTCACTGGAAATCGAATCAATTGCCTTGGTGGAATAAAGACTATTTAATTGTGCAACCCCAGGGTCGCATGATAGTGAGCCGATGACTTTATTGCATAATTAAACAGTCTTCACTCATCCAAAGCAATCCTCCTTCGTTTTCAGATGAGACCAATTAACGAATTCTATCCAACCAACTTTTTCTTTAAAATAATAAGTTATAACACAATACCAATGCTTTGATACTTAAATATGAATCAAACGTGGATCAAAAGATAATTATAGTGCATGAAAGCAAATTCCTTGGCAGAATTCCTATGAATATTGACCAAAATTTTGTGCTCCTTATCCTATTTAACGTAAATAAACACGCCAACATGTAATATGAATGAGCGTAAGGCTTCTATGAAGGGGAAGCCGGGAGAAAAATCGATATTCCTGCAGCCAATCTTGTCGTGATAGACTCACGTGTTGCCTCTGAGGAGCTGCACACAAACTCATATGCGACTCGAAATCGGTAGTAGATTGTCGCGCCAGATCCTCGGTTTCAGATACAGTATGAACAATCGAGGCATTCGCTTCTGGAGATGAACGAAGGCCACTAGTAAAGTGAGGCGAAATCTTTTCCCGAGCAGACGACTGATTTATTTGGAAGAATGAGTCTGGTTGTCTTGAATAGTCCCTCTGGGGAGGTGGCGATGAGTGCGAGCGTTCCAAACAAATTGAGTTATCTGAGTTCCGAGAATGCAAAGAGTAGCGAGCGTCCTTTGGGTGCTGAGACTTTCTAGAGTATAGAGGTTGATGGGATTTTCGAGAGTTGGAGTCCTGAATGACTGCACCTGAGCTGAACCCGTTGCTGGTTGTAGAAATCGCTGTAACACCATCTGTTCCAATATCTGCAGTATGTGAAGAGGCAAATTTACCAAAATCATCGCTCAATTGAGTATGAGATGATTCTGCGAGTGGAAATAAAATCTCCTCATGAGGGGTATGTGAAAAAGAAGGCTTATGGAGTTCGGCTGGAAAGCAGATAAGCACGAGAGCGATCAAAAGCTGAGAAAGGCCTAAAAATTGAAACGGTATAAAAATATTAGAAGCAAAATAGCGTACCACAAAAATAAATTTAGATATACACCGAAAAAGAGGTTTTAAAGAGAGTGCATTAACGCATTCATATAAGTGTCTAGATTGCAACGATTAATTTTGCTACGTGATATTCACAAACATATTCCAACACTCTTCATTTACTTCGTGTGAAATTGAACAATGAAGAGATTCGTAGGTCTTTCTCGGCTATCCTCACGCTCATCTATCTTCATCATGGACACACATACAAACTTCGTCTATATAACGACCAACTAGCCTTGTGTTCTTTCTGGTCAACATGCAACTTCAAAACTACATTCCTCAATCTATCTTTCCTACCGATCTCAGGACTGCTATATTGTATTAATAGTTCAAAAGGAGATGAATTAATTCAAGATATGTAAAGCACTAAAATGAGGAAATTACTAGAAATGACCAATAAAGCTTGAGATAATAAGGAAAATGTAGAGTTAAAGTATTTAGACGAAACCATGCAAGGAATTTCTTGGTAGAAGGGCGCCCTTTAAAGGCTTTAAATATTTAAATATTTCAAAAGTTAATAATGTAATTTTTCCTTCAATGCTTATACTATCTCTAAAGCTCTGAAGAAATGTAAATTCCAATAACTGGTGATTGGTCGTCGTTCCTTATAGTTGTAAACAACAAAATTGAACTCTTATTCATAATTCGAACTTATTCTCCAAGGGTCTTATGCCGTTGACGTTTCGCTGGCATCGTAAGTAAAAATTAACATTTTACGTATTAAATTGCAAGTCATATGAAATAGAAGTTCACTTCATCGAGCGTGGATCATTGAATACTTATTAATATTTCTCTCCTACTTCCCTTAGCCTATAGCAAATTTATCCCACAGGTCTTTGAGGAAGGCAGGCTGAATCAAGATATTTAGCTAAGCAGTGAACAAAAAAGTTATGAATTGATTGTCTACTACCGAGACAGGATAGAAGAGTAACTATGTGCCATTCGGAACTATGGTGCTATTTGGCAGTACTTTAGACGGCTGCGTAGGTAGGATAGTCAGAAGTCACAAGTGTTCACGTGTGAAAAAATGAAATCATGCATACAAGAAATATGTGAATAAAAACAGACATAGAGAATAGGCAAGGAAGTAGATAATAAAGAATCTAAAGACCAGAGAAAGGAAACGGATAGAGAGAGTACGGTGAACAATCTTTGAGCTACGGTCAATGAAATGGACTACACATTTAATTTTCATAAATACTGCTTTTGTGCATTTAATTGCTCCATTTTCAGTATAGTATATCCAATTTTCTTGTAAATACGACCAGGCTGTGAAAGCGAAATTCACGGAAAGGCGATTTGCAAAATGAATAAGGAATGGAAAATATGAGTTAGAAGGTAGCAAAAGGTAAAATTCATTTATAAAAATTATTCGCAGATATAAAAACGGAAATGGTGTGGCTCTAGGTCTGGTTGCAGTCTCCTTTGGCTACGTAGGTTTTGTTTGATCTCGTTTGAAATATGAGCCAGAAACTTTCGTGGTGAAAGTCGTAATGTCGATGCAACTTTTATAATTTATGCTTAGTTAGTTTCGTTTCGAGAAAATAAACTTTATAGTGTCACTTTAACCTCGTTTTCGCAATTTGGTCGAGAAAAAAAGAAGACCTTGTGGAACTTATCGAGCCTAGCAGAAGTGGAGAGCATCATTAACCTGGTGCTAAGAAGAATGCATCTCACTGGCGAGGCTGACGAAATGTATAGGGTCCGATATAGGAATTTGTCGTGAACACTTATACAAAGGAAGCTTAACTGAAAAGGTTTTACAAAATCTCTCTGCTCTCTCGACGAAATTGTGAAAACGAGGTCAAGCCAACACTATAATGAGTATTTTCGATAAGCGAGTCCAAATAAGTACAAAAGAATGTTAATTACAAAAGAAAACATAGACACATGGAAACTTACGCGAAAATTGCTAGCCCATAGTTCAGACAAAGTATAAGCATTGAAAAGTCAATAATTCCTGGGAAGAGCAAAATGGCAGATTATCCTATACGATACTAAAAGGGACAGTGAACAAATTTATCCGCCATAAAGTAAGCAAAATGAACAAATCAAGACAACGCCCACAAACCATTCACTAATCATCCTTGGGCAAATTTAAATTTAAACTGATATTTTAAGTTGTTTCACCTTGTTTTCGTAACTTGGTCATATTGGCAGGAAGACCTAGAGGAACGCACCTTATCCGGAGTCCATAGTATACATGATAGTTTCCAGAGTAGGACCGTGGACGTAGCACATTCCTAGACGTTTCATTGGAGTCGTCAGTGAACTTTGTCACTCGTAGCACCAAGACAACTCGTCAGAGGCAAATGATGTCGATCTCTTTGACCAAATATGTGCTCAACAGTTCTGTTCTGGGCTATTCACTAATTCTATATGCTCGTATCACCCCTTAAATATCACCATTTCTTACTTATTTATCTAGACCTATTTAAAATCTATTCACACTCCCCGCTCATTTCCTCATCCCTCTTACTGTGCCGGGAGTGTTGATACAAGGCTGCGGTTTAATCCGCAATCTTCTCCCTTCGGGTCCTCTCATAGTCTACATCTTGCTACGTAGGACTCTTCTCTTGTCTGTCTGCTTCCGTGAGTTTACTCCATCGCTGCCAC